ATCCTATCCATCCAAATATCAACAAAATAAGCTTGGAAATTGAGACAAAGTAACTAGTGTCATTATTGGCATAACGAAAAATAGTATCATGGTCAACATAGTAAATACAATGGATTGTTTTCAGATGATTACCATATAACAATACCTTATCACATAAAAAGGACATTGATATTACCATATCATCATCCAAATTCAGTTTTGTTGGAGCTCAACACTTTCGCTACATTGTGTGAGGCTAATATTTGAAAAGGCAGAATTTTCTCCTTGTTGTGAGCGTGCCCCTTCAGTTTGTGGGCGCCCTTTGCTGCTTCCTCGTGTCTTTCTGTTTTCCAGTTTCAGATACCCAATGAAAATTACCAAGACATAGAAACTCATAAAGACTAATAAATAGACAATAAGACTAGAATTTCACAGTGCAATGATTTTGAGGTTAACATCATCACAATTCACAACCATGACAATAAGCAAAGTAACTGCAGCGGTGACCACTTCACCTTTTTCCTGCCATTCTTTATACCATCTTTTCTTCGTGGACCACTGAATGCCTCTGACATTAAAAATTATCCTTGGCTGTGGAGCGGGTGCCTTGGATGCCTTTGTTGCTGTCCAAGATCTAAATCCTTTTTTATTTGGGACAAAAACCATCCCTACCAGTTGCTGTCAACATTACATCTTTGCACTCTTTTGAAGATTATGTTCTTCGTCATCACTGCATTTGCCTCTTTTGAAGTTTTTGCCTTCTATCAATGCTTGCATTTAACACAACCACCCCCACCTTCCCCAGTGTCTTCGAAACCATGATGAACAAATACATTAGCTAAACCATGATCATAAAGCAATTGCGCCGTCTTTATCACATCATTGTCATTATTTAATGGAAGTAAACCATCAAACGTTGATTTGTAAAACATACTTGTAATATTATTACCACAGCCCAAGTTTGTTATCTCATCAACAACATATTTATAATAACGCAAATCAGGGTCTGTATTATTATCTTTGGTTGATCTACCACCAATATAATAAACCTCAAGGGTACCTTACTAATGTTCCTCCAGGGTGTTTGATCAATGCAGTCAACCTATGCATTCTACCGTTATAAAAGGGGAGAAAAAGGGAAGAACAAAATATGAGAAAATGGTATGACAAGTATAATGTCTTAAAATGCATTCAATACCCACTTTTGTCTTTTACGTAAATTGGCTTGCATTAAAATCTTAATGATTTAAAATTTTTAAGTAGGCGTGTTTCGGATACAAAAATTTGATGATCCATCATGCGTTTGGTCTGTTGTCATGCATCATGCAGACAGAGCAATGAATCAAGAACAAACAACTCCATTAAAATTCAATATCTAAGCCACATAACAAAACAGTGATCCAAAAAAGGAATAGAATACCTTATAAACAACGAAAAGTTTACAAAGATTCCACACAACTCATTTTTCAATGCAACTTTGATTATAATAAAAAAATTTACCTCAGTCTGCAAGCAGAATCTGTGGGCCCTTCACTTCAGATACTGAGTAAAAGTTCAACCTTTATTTTGGTTGTTGAGCGGGTATCATTGCTTTAAATGTCAAAGAAAACATTAAACAGAGACGCGAAGAACGTTTGCCCTCAAGCTCCCCTGAATCGTCACACCTCAAATTCTATATTCGTGTATAGAGTTTCTTTCCTCGGGCTCCCAAACCATCTAAGCGACACAGAAACAGAAATTGATGGAGTCAGAAAAAGGGGAAAAAACAAAACCTTCACAGCTCACCGGAAATGGCGGGGGAAGTGAAAACTTGTAACAGTGAGAGCATTTCTGGTTTTTGATAGGGGCGGTTGACGTGGAAAAGTGGTTTTAAGGCTTGCTTACTAATATAGGTAAAATTTTTTTATATTAACTTTTCATACAATTTTTAAATATTATTAAATTAATAAATATATTTAATATTATAAATTTAAAATAAATAAAAAATAACTATTTAAATAATATAAAAAATAATATAAAGAATTATTCTTAAATCATCTTCTTTAAAGCTTTTATACTTAACATTTAAAGTTTCCAAAGTGCAGACCCCCATGTGGTTAAAGTGACCACGCTGCCCTTCAATAGCAGGTTGTCTGCATCCTTTCAGTAGTTTGAGCTTTTCTACTAATAGATACTAATATTACCTCTAACCATTTCTTACTGTCAAAAAAAAAAAAAAAAAAAAAAAAAGGGTTTCCAAAGTAAACGGAACATATTTTCCCTCTTGTTTCTTCTACTTCTAGTCCTTTTAGTTTTCAAGAGATCTTCGGTTTCAGCCCACCAAAC